GGGGGGGGGGGGGGGGGGGGGGGGGGGGGAAGGAAGGAAGGAAGGAAGGAAGGAAAGCTGACATATTGCTAAGAGTTAGTTTGAGCACCATTTACAATGATGTCACAGGGTTCAAACTCTGGACTCCACAAGAGCATTCTTAGGAAATAATAATGGTGAGTGATTACATTCCACTTTTGTGTTGAAAGTATGCCCACCTGCCCAGAGAAGATAACGGTAAGATGAGGTAGCAAAGTCAAGGAAGGGGGGGGGGGAAGTGTGTATCTGTAAGGAAATGGCAGAAAGCACCTCACCAGTTTTTGTTCTGGTAAATGGGGTTTTGGGGAATAGCTTTGCTCAAGCAGTCTTTTACAAATGCACCTCTCATGGCAGCCATTTTCTAAGCATGTTCGTAAAAGGCTTTGGAAATGCCAAATCTGCCTTCTAGCCTGAAAAGTTAGCCTACTACTTTGCTTCTTCAGTATCTCAAATTTGAAGCATAAATCTTGTTCACTCTGTCCTTGAGTACTGCAAGCCTTCATTGCAAGAAAGGTCTTGAGGATTATATGATCAGCTCTCTCAGCACACGCAGCTGTAGTGTAAGGGTTTGGACCCATTTGGTCACATGAGTAATGTGATAAGAAGCACCGTCCCAGGCCTGGGACATGTGGAAGTCTCAAATTGATCCTGTATGACCACCAGAAACAACCCTAACAGAGTTGGTGGTAGTGAAACGACAAACTGTCTTTTGTGGCCCTAATACATGGGTCAGCAAAAAAAGGAAATAAGTCACAGAGTTTAGGTTAGTTTTGGTTTTGACCAGGCTTTGCTATGCTTGTCAACAAAGGATAATCCAAGTTTGTCCTCTACAGAAGTGAAAAGGAAAGTGTGGGGGAAACAAATAGATCCACATTGGAGGCTCCCAAGTCAGAGTCTATTAAGAAGGTGGGGATTAGAGAATCAGACTTTTAGACCTTCATTCTTCACAGCAAGAGAAGAACTATGCCTAATGACTCCATAGGTCATCTTTCTCATATTCTCCCGCTATGGCGTCAGAGGTGCCATAGTGTCTGCAGTACTGCTAGATCTTCCAAAATGTAAAAATGGATAATAAAACCCAAGTAATATTTTAAAACAGCTTCATTCTTGCGAGACAGTTCATATAACATGGTATTGTTGTCCTCGCATAAGAACATGAGATACCAGCCATTTTTAATTATAATGTCTGTAAGCTTTTGCAATGGAGCCCATTGCCTGAAAAGGTTGCCGGAAGCAGGGGTGGGTGACACCATTTGCTTTCTCCAAGTCACAAGTCAGCTGTTTCAGAGCTTGGCGCTCTCATCAGAGGCACAGTCCCAGTCTCTACCACCCCGCTCTTTCTCTTCTGGCCCTATCCGTGCATTTCCTGCTTGCTAATCGGATTATGCAGGACTCCCTTTTGGCCCAGCCCTTTTCTGAAAGACACCAGGAAACATTAAGCCTCTCCCAGAGACCCTGGGAACAGGTTCACTGAAATGACAGGTATAGTACATAACAGCAGCCTGCCTGCAGCATCATGTCCCTCGCCTCTGCCTTGGAAGACAGGACAGCGGCGAGGCATATAAAACGTGTGGAACAAGCAGAAAGTTATTTGCACAAGGCAACTTCTGGAAAGCAGCTTCCTAGACAGAAAGCAGAATTTCAAGTAGGGAAACGAGACATGCAGCAAGCAGTAGCCTCCTTAAACTAACAATAAGGGAAAGCAGAAATGCAAGTTAAATTGCAAGCTTGGATGGCAAGAGATTTGATTACAAAATTCTTGTATCTCGTTTATAGACAAGAAGTCACGTCTGATCCAGACTTAAGCCTAAGCTAGTCCGGGCATTATTTTTGGATTTGGTTTTGCATATATAGGAGCCACTTTATAGACATCACTGAACATATTGTAAAGTGACAACAATCAAGTCTGACTTGTTTAGCAAATCTGTGAAGTTCTGAACTTGCTTGGGAACTGCAAGTTCCACAAGCAGCAAGTCCAACCACTACAAATTTTCATTGTCTGGTCACAAACCTGCAAATATTTTAAAAGAAGCACATGAAAAGATTGCTTGAGGGCACAGCAAAATTCCTGCATGGAAGGAATTTATGTAAATCTTTCTTACCTGCTAATTTCAAGGTGTCATGATACTAAGCATACCCAAGGAATGTGTGGATTCCTTCCATTTATACACAGGAATGATGTACATACAAGTTCAGATAAATTTGTTAATGGAAGTTCCTTCTCTGGATAGCAATTTCCCACTATTTGTAAAAGGGAATAGAGAATCTTCCCAACAAATAAATCCCCTCCCACCAAATTCTGTTTTGTAACTGGCTTACAGCTTTCTCGTGCAAATCTTTCCTCACTCAAACAATTTTAAACAGTTACCTGAATACAAATTTAAAGAAGACCCTGATTCCAGGGTCCGAATAGAAGTCAGTATCCAAGAAATAGATAGATTTCTTGGATACAGTTAATCAAGGTCGGCTTTAAGCTAAGGCCGAGGAGGCACTGGCCTAGAGTGCAAAAGTTTAGGGGGCACCCACGCTGCTCCTCCTTCCAAATCATTCTAAAAATGCAAATATTCGCATTGGCAGGAGGTGGCACCATCAGTCAATGTGGCCTGGGGTATCATATACCCTTTAGCCAGCATTGGAATGAATAGATATATTCAGGCAGACAGAGTGCTGTACAATACTTATCAACTGATTCAGAAGGGATGTTCTGGATAGCATGGGAGCATGAATATAGCACCTGCCTGCAATTCATTTAAGCACCTATGTCTTTTTCCAGGTCTGGATGATTACTGGAAAAGGACACGGCTCCTTTAATGAGCCACAGACTTCCATGTATTCCAAAGTACCTCTTATGAATCTGATTGAAAGCATTGGTTAGCTCTAGCTGAAGGTGGTCTTCTGCTGTGTCTGGCTCTTGGCTTCTTGAGAAAGCTGTATAATTTGATTTGCTTCAGACCTAGTGTCAGCACCCAGCTTGATAGGTCAAATGCTGTGTCCTCTGGAGTGTTCAGGGCTCACTGAAGAGACATCACCATCCTCCCTTTACATTTTTAAAAAATATTATTCTCTTTCCAATTTGCTGCTTCCGCTATTTCATGCCCTCTCTGCTTTGCTGGTAAGCTTAGGGTGGGAGTGAGGCATGACTGGCTATAAGTAGGCAGAAATGAATAGTAATGCTCAGCCTGTGGTTCACCATAAAAGTGCTAAGGAAAGGCAGAGCAGAGCCTCTCTGACCTTAGGTTTTCTTGAGTGGGGCACCAGGGTGACAGATGGATCAGAGCCCTGCTTTGCTTTCTATATTTCTCTTTAGCAAGATGAATAGGTTGCTTTATCCCTACCGTTTGCCAAATGGGCTTGGGCCAGGACACTGGGACTGCAGGACATCCCTGATCATCTGAGCGTTGACTCTGGCGGCTCCGCCATAATGACTTTGCACCTTCTGTATGTCCATGAGCATCTTGGAATGGATGCGCCGTAACTTGTTCAGACTAGCGCTCTTCTCCAGGGCATCAAAACGAACACCCGGTCCTAACTTAAAATTGCTATGATATGGAATAGGGAAGAGGCGGAAGGGGAAGAAATGGATGCAGCCCAAAGCCAGAGCAAGGAGGTAGGAGCAGCCAAAGAAGGGGGATGAGGAAAAAAACATGCTGTTAAGCAGGGCTATTGAACCCAACATCTTTTGCATTCGCATAACAGGCAGTACTGAAAGAATCTACTCGGTGGTGCAGAACCTTTTTCACTCTGAGGAATGCATTTACCATAGGCAATTTTTGGGGGACCACATACCTCCCCATTCGTACATACGCTTTCTAGTCTCATACATACCATGCGGCCCCTCATACTGTCTCCCACATACACACAAGTCACAGCAATTAAATTAGAACAAATGGGAAGATTTATTCAATCCTAATTCTCAGGGAAGGGGAATCAAGAGAGTTAGAAGGCACTGGAACACCCTTACACATACAGATTTCCCTGGACTTTTTAAAAACTCCATGGCTACTGATCAAAACAAAATGAAAATGAACAAATAAATAAACGCTGCATGGAGAAGGGGGATGAAGGAAAGCCACTGGAAGAGTCCTAGAGGCCATTTCCAAGCAGCCAAACAGCTAGGAGTTCCCTGCCTTTCATTCATATAGAACTTTGCAATCAGCAGGAGTGAATTAGGTCCACACAACTATGAAGAGACTCTAAATTAAAAGAATATTCTTCTATGGATTCATACAATATACTAAGATGTACTTTAGCATACTATATGATCCAGCCACAAGTTTTTGGAAGCAATTCTACAGATATAAGAAATGAAGAGGCATTTTGGAACAAGATGCTCACCTCCTATTTTCTCCACCGCCACTGAGAGTTTTACAGCAATGGCAGAAACCATTTTAATTTTCACTACATAATGAAGACCCCACCCCAAGAATATAATTCAAACTAGACATACTTTGCACCTAGTGTATTCATTCCTCCCTATGGATTCCTATTCCAAATCTCTGTCTCTCTCAGTCCCTGAATACAGAAAAGTTAGATGAAAGAAACTGCAAGAGAACAAAATGTAGCAGCACTGCATTTTACTTGCGGTTCAGCTGCCTGATTTGTTCCATTTCGTAAACCGTATATGGCCGGAGGGATTGGTGAGCAGGTAAACCTGGAACAGCTGGGAGTGTCGTAATTCGCCTGTCAAGATAATACACAGACAAGACAAATAAAGGAGGATGCAGAACAAGGGAAAGAGGAGACAGCAGCTGCTCCTGGCCTAACACCTTACCAGTGTTTTATTAATGAAGGAAAGGCTAGCTTCTCAGCAGGCAGATGGACAGAGGCAGTGACTTGCTGAAGAGCTGCAGGCTGAACCTGCAGCCCAGTAGATGGGGAGCTCTATCTGTATCTAAGCACATCAGTAACGTGAAAGCGCCAAGCAAAGACTTACGGGCCAGGCACCACCATCTCTAAGGGTCGGTCACAAGAAATGCAGTGGAAGTGAGCCAGTAGTCTCCTGTTTGAGTAGAAAAGAGAAAGGACAGGTCAGAGTGGGGAGTGGTTGGAGGAAGGGGTAAAACGTTTGGCAATTTCAGGAATGTGTTTGTTTGTTTTTTTAAACTAGAAGGCCACAGAGTGGGGATAAACTCAACCTGGCATGTTTATTTCACGCAGAGGCGTTTTTAACATACCCATTAAATTGAATATTTATTTCCACAATGAACAATTACAACTTAAAGAAGCCAAGCAAAATGAAACAAACATTTCATTGGGCAGGAATTCAGAGTTCAAATGATGGTAATGCATGAAAGGGTAGTGGAAATTCCCACCAACTATGTATGTTAAAAATGCCCCTGGGGAGAGTCGTACTCGGAGTTTATTGGAGTATCAGGGTTTATATTCCAAGGGGAGAGGGCAAGATAAAGAAATGGGCAGGGCTCATACAACAGCTACATTTGACTTAAATTATATTTTATTACATTAGTTAAATGCAGTTAATAAAATTACTGTGTATTTAATAATGCCCTTTCTGCCACCTTAAAAATTGCAACAGTAACTTTGAGGGGTTTGGGGACCACAGCGAGACTTTAGAGGGGAGACATATGGCCCTCAAGGCTCAGGCTGTGCACCATGAGTAATACAGTCACTATGAGGGAGAATAAAAATGTCCCCAGAAGGATGGAAAATTTTGGGCACTGTATCTCCAGAGCCTAAAACAGCATCATCCAGTTACATTGGACTCAGGCAGATTGCGAAGGTGTTTCATCAATGGAAAAATGATCTGAAGTATGATGTTTTGTTTATACCCAGAAACGGGAAAAGGGAGCAAGAGAGAATTTGCCTCTCCAGCACAAGTTTTTTTAATTCCGAGAACTCCAGGCAATCTCAGATCCTTTTATGGGTGAGCTGCGTAGGGTGCTTTTTCCTTCCTGCCCCAAAGGCAGTGAATGAGATCACAAGCTTTCTTCTTCCTCCATCTCTACATAATGTCTGATCTGCTCCAAAGCAAAGGCCCTAGTAGCAATAATACACGGCATTACCAGTGGTTAAAACCGATAGGGACACCACGTGTTAAGCTGACCATCTACTCTAGCAGTGTGGAACCCGTAGCTGCCCAGATGTTGACGACCAACTCCCAGGAGCCCTTGCAGCACAGCCACTGGGGAAGGATGTGGGGAGATGCAGTTTAGTAACCTCAGGCAGGCCACAGGTTGGCTACCCTGGGCCCAGCACTGAGATCATTCTTGCTATTGGGGAGCAAAGAGATTTTCAAAATAGTCAAACGACATCACCCTCCACCCTCCTGGTGTCCACCCCCCCAGATTGGATTTCAGCTCCCATCATTCCTTTGGCTGTGCTGGCAAAGTCTAATAATAGACTTTTCACAACAGTGTGTGAAAGCAACTGTTCTTGCAGACTTTCAAAGTTTGTTTTGAGAAAACAAAGAGTGGTCCTTCCCTCCACACCGTGCACTGGCTGTGCTTAGACCATATCTGTTTTCTTTCCTTTTCCCCCTCCCTTTCATTGAAGGCCAGCATTTTCACTCCACCCCTGCCCTGCACGTTGCACCTGAGAAAATGCAGTCGCTATGGTGACCTTCCTATCCTAAACATGACACACCTCCATCTAATCCCTCATGACGTGCCCAGGGCTGGGATGCGGGACCATGAGTCAGGAATTGGCACTGCCCCCACCGCTGCTGCTGAGAAGGTGCAAGGCTGTGTGAGACAAATTTGAGCAGCAGCCTTGCCAAACCGCCTTTTTCTCTGAAGAGTACCATCAAGGCAACCCCCCTTCCCCAAATGGCCGAGGGAAACATGTTTCTCGACAGCCAGGGTCTCCCACATATTTTTGCATCTTATTTCTCCGTGCCTTCACATATAATCACTGCCTGATTCAATTAAAGGGTTTTCAAAGCAACACGCAGGGACAGGCAAGACAGCTCCTGGGATCCCAGCACCACTGGGCAAAGAGATTCTGCTGTGTCTTACATAATAGACACTTAGCATAGGACTGCTTAGTGTGTTATCCGCCTAGCAGTATATAGCAGGAATTGCTGATTCGCCCTGCTAAAGTAATCACACACTGAGATGCCCCCCTCTTCTCTCTCCCTCTCTATCAATAAGCTGTGCCAGTGGGCCCACACGCCAAGCACCAGCGCCCTCTGGTGGTGAGACAGAGCAGTGGCAGCTTGCCATTCTGAAGGAAAGGACCATTGACAAGGTGAAGATCTGGGAAAGCAGGCGAGAGATCAGAGAAGCAGGAGGTGTTCAGTACCTCCAGGTCTGAGGGTGACCTCTGTCTAGCTGTCATTCTTGTTGGTAAATAAAAGTATAGTCTCCTTCAAGTCGAGCTCAATTCCTGATTATGTGAACATATCCATGTAGTTTTCTTGACCGCAGAATGGAAGAAGGTTGCTCTATTTTCTTCTGAGATGGTTTTTCCACTTCCAAAGCCTACAGTCCTGAGGTTTCCAATTGGCATCCCATCCAAATACTAACTCCCAAAGTGGTGGTTTTTTTTGGGGGGGGGCGGCATAAATATTCTTATGTTCATGGCAGAGGCTTGAAAACATTTACATTTTCTGCAAAAGCTCTGCCTTTGTTGCTGGGGGGGGGGGGGGGGGGGGGGG